ACTCCGTGGGAATTTTACTAGAGCTCAGAATGGCTGGCTCCTGCTCACTCACATCTTACCTCAAGGAGGGCCTCCCCTGACCATCATTCTAGGGCAGCATGACCCATGACCGCCTCTCAGTCCTCTATCAATGATCCTCATAACATTGTCAGTATCTGAAATTAGCAATCTATTTCTTACTTTGTTTTTCATCTGTCTCCATCCTCTCACTAGAATGTAAGCTTTTGGACTATGTCGTTTATTATTTAGAGAATGAATAAATGAATGAATGCATACATTTGCTTCTGCAGTTTTTCTCTTCCCTCTAGAATTCTCTTTAGAAGATCGGAAATTTCTGGATATTTCCCAACTTCATCAGAGATGGAGCAATTAGTTTCCATTGCTGCTTAATGATGTATGCCCCCACCAGCCCCTCCTACTCTGAGTTATTTATTTATTAAGTTAACAGTTAACCCAAGTAAAGTTTATGTAAGTACAATCTGGAAAGACACTTCCTAGTTCAAGTGGAATTTGTTTTTTTCCCTGCCAGGAGACCATTCTCTAGAGAAACACGATTGTGTTATACCCTGTGAAAGATGAAGAGAGAAAAGAGACTTACACATACACCAGCTCTATTTCTGAAAAAGAGGCGGAAAATTGAAGCAGGAGACTTCCTACAAGAGAGCATGATCTATCAGATCAAAGTTCAAATTGATTCAAAAGGAAAACATTTATTTTTCACCAAGGTGAATTATTATTCTCTCTGTCATAGTGAGGTCCATAAATCTGTGAGGGGTAATTATATGAAGGATAATCACCACCTGTTGTGTATTTGGAAGGAAGCTTCAAGAGGAAGAAATATGTGTCCTCAAATAGATCGTGGGGTTCTTGAGGGTAGCGGCTGCATATTATACTTTTGGGGTCCCCCATAGGTGGCCAGCCTAGTGTGTTGTAACATTAGGTAATATTAAATATGCATTAAATTGCCAACACATAAGCATGAGGGGTTGGGCTGTATTTCAGTGTAAGGAAAACTTTGCTGATTGGAGTTACTAAAACCAATAATTGGGTTCCTAAGAGAGGCCAGAAATTTTTTTCTCCAAATTTCTTTTAAAAAGAGAACAAATGCTAATTCATTTAACCTGATTTTTTTTTCAGGTAGAACAAAATAACTTTTTCAGTCTCTACAAAGTTTGACCTTCTCTTACATTTCTATATTTAACAAGAATGGGGGTCAGTAGAGTTAGTCTTTAATAAAGGGCAATCTTCCCTCCACTCGCTGCAATTCAAAAACTTCAGTGATTTTTATAGAAAAGTCACTGAATTCTAGAACGTTAAGTGGCATGAAGTGATATGGTCCAAACCCTGGTTTTGCAGATGAGTAAACCTTGTTCTGGAGAGAAAAAGTTGAGAGATCACACAATTTTTTTTTTTTTTCCTTTTTGTCTTTTTTCGTGACCGGCAACGGAATCGCAACCCTCGGTGTTGCTCCCGCACCTCGCTCAGCCAGTGAGCGGCCGGTCTGTATGTGGGATCCGAACCCTCGGCGGGAGCGCCACCACGCTTCCCAAGCGGCGCACTGTAGCAGTGCGCCACCGGGCTGGCCCTCACACAATTTTTTGACAGCAACAGGACGACACATTCTCAGCAATGAAGACAGGATTTGAGGATCAAAGTGGGGTTTGTATCTAAAGGCTGTTCTTCAGTATTCATACACAGAAAACAATATGTACAGCAGAATTCTTCTTCCTAAATTAGTAGCTGCCTAAAAGGGAAAATTTCCAAAGAGGAAAAGGGACCGAAGGAAAGGGGCAAAGTCTCACAAAGACAGAGAATTTTAAAATCATAAATCATCAGTGAAAATACCAGAAAAGTGTGATTACTACATTTTAAAATGCCTCTTCCTGAATACCACTTTGATGAACTGATTTCATTTGAAGGATTATTTGCAAATGTAAGGTATTCTATCTGAAGAGTAGTTTATTCTAGCTAAGTGTCTTAAGATACTTTAATTGTGATCACATGAAAAATATATATTTTATTTTGCAACTCAGGACACACATACATATAGAGAAATGTGACACAAGTTTCAAGAAACCACACACACTTGTCAAATGCTATGAACTCTGCTATTTTTTATTCTGTTCCACTTAATTTAAAAAAAAAAAAAGGTTGCTTGTACCCACTAAATTGTTTTAGGACTGACTGATGGGTTTCACAGCACTTCCAAAAACAATGCCAATTCCTCTTACCAGACCATCCCCATGTTAATATCCACCCTCAAAGGACCTACCACACTGTGTCGACATAAAAAATATTTTGATAGTATTAAAAGAGCAGTAGAGTTACATTTCTGTAAATTCCAAGTGCTTCCAAAAGGTGCACAACCCCTTTGGTGTTTAATAAATGTCTGTTGCTAATACAGTCAATTTAATCCTTTTGAGAGACCAGAGAGCCTCGTCCCTGATCCCACTTCTGCTATATCACCTACCCTGAAATCTTCTGCCTGCCAAAAATTCTCATTCTCTGCAATATTGTTTCTAACACGATTAGCACCTGAATCAGTCTGTGTTGCTCATGGTTAGACCACACACTGTTTAAGGCTTTATAAGACATCCATGCCATTTTTCTAACTAATTTTTAGACTCTATCTAAGTTATGGTTAAGGACTGTGTCCTGCATATTTTCAGTAGCTTTACTGAACCAAGCCCACCCTGCTTTCAGAATTCTGGTTGCCAATATCAGTCGGGTAAGATGCCCTTGGATTAACGTGCAGCAGAAACATCTCCCTGATCGGGTTCTGTCGCCCAATGCAGAGGGCGGCAGCACCTTCTTCTCGGCAATAATCTCCCTGATTCATTGTTATTTCAGCGATTTGGGCTACAACAGAGGGAAATTCTCAGTGTTTGGCCCCCCAGCAGTTGACCATAGGAGAAACTCAAACAACTTCAGTATTTCTCTGCTGTGTGCACCAAAAGAAGGTAATCGATGTTCCAAAAGAGAATTCTTAAAGAAGGGCACGGTCAGGTGCTGGCAGGTAGCAGCAGCTGGGAAGCTGTGAGCTATTGAACCCAGGGCAGGTGTCCAAGCATGCAGTGAAGATTTGTATCTAAATCCTGAATTTGGAGGGTTTTGTGTACAGGTATTGTGTGTGTGTGTGTGTGTGTGTGTGTGTGTGTGTGTGTGTGTGTGTGTGTGTTCCTTTGCAAGCCTCCTTTCCTAGTCACATTTCCTACTGCTAACAACATCATTCCCACTTAGATCCCGGGAATGGAGGGACTATAGAACCTTCCCCTGCAGTGGGGAGGTGCCTTCGGGTTTGAATGCATGGTGAGTCACACACAACCCTCTGGGTCACCAGACTGGAGGTGGCAGGGAAAGGGGGTGGTGGGCATAGAGGAGAGAGCCTGGAAAAACAAAGCTCTGGACTCCAAACTTTGTCTTCCATTAGATCCCCTGAAAGGGGTCCCTGTAGTCCTTCTGGGGTGGGAAGTGAGGGCTCAAAATAGGACAGGGGCACAAACTCCTTTTGCCTATAGTTGCTGATCTGCCCAGGGAAGGGCCCCAAGGAAGGATGGGGGAGCGTTGCAGCCGCGTTCACAGGACACCTCCATTTCTGTCGCCTGGCGCTGCCCCCGCATGCTTAAGAGAACCCCAGACTGACAGGTCGTGTGCTGTGCTGCCGTCTGGCTTTCTTCCCTTCCTATAATATTGTCGTTATCATCATTTCTTTTGCCGAGGAGATAGTGTTAGTAACCTCGACGGTGTACAGCCACCTCGCGTCCTGGAACGCACCGGATGCCGCTTTCCTAGCCCAACACCCCTTGAACAGAGTTAGGAAAGAAGTATCCGCTGCCGCCTCGCAGCACCCAGCTATAGCCCATAGCAGGCTGAGGGCGGCCCGTCCTTGGAACCAACTTGCTGCCTCCCAGGGCGCGCCCGCCAGCCCCAGCTGCACCCCGCCTGCCATTGCACTGTCCTGGGCGTTTGCTGGCATCCAGGGCTTCAGGGGGAGAAGAGTCGCAGTCCCTGACACCGAGTTGGGCACCCCAGACCCCCGTCTTCCCTCGTCGTCCTCACTGTTTTACTTACCCTAAGATACTCTGCCCACCAGCAGCGTCCTACGTGAAGGGCACTGTGACCACAAATTCAGCTTGCACCCCCAGCCTACAGCCCCCCAACTCCGGACACTCTCCCGGGGCTCGCCGGACCCCCACGGTCTCTCTTCTTGCCTCCTGCACCCAGCTCTGAGCCGGCCGTCTTCTCACGCCCGCACCCCACTTTCACTACCTTGCACGCTACCGACCCTCTCTGCACAGGCTTCCCGGTGCTGTCCCCGGAGTGGTGGCTGAAGGAGCCCGGTGGCTTCTTTTCGAAACTCACCTCCCTCCAAAATTTGCATCCTCCGGGGAGGGGAGGGGGGGACAGGGCTCCCAGAAAGCTGTCTCCGGGGACAGGTTACGAATCTCCCAGCCCCCGACTGTCACCCCCCTCTCCCCCACTCCTCAAGGTCTAACTCGGGTCCCTCTCCTGCTTCCCGTGTTTATGCGGCGTTTTAGTCTCCGGAACTCGTAGGGTGAGCCCCAGCCGGGACTGGAGCGAGGCAGCCGCCGCGAGCGCAGCCCCTCTGGCGGGCCGGGCCGAGGGGGGCCGGC